CCAGGACCAGATGGATTCACAGCTGAATTCTACCAGAGGTACAGAGAGGAGCTGGTACCATTCCTTCTGAAACTATTCCAATCAATAGAAAAAGGGAATCCTCCCTAACTCATTTATGAGGCCAACATCATCCTGATACCAAAGCCTGGCAGAGACACAACAAAAAAGAAAATTTTAGACCAATATCCCTGATGAACATCGATGCAAAATCCTCAATAAAATACTGGCAAACCGGATTCAGCAGCACATCAAAAGCTTATCCACCATGATCAAGTGGGCTTCATCCCTGGGACACAAGGCTGGTTCAACATTCGCAAATCAATAAACATAATTCAGCATATAAACAGAACCAAAGACAAGAACCACATCATTATCTCAATAGATGCAGAAAAGGCTTTTGACAAAATTCAACAGCCCTTCATGCTAAAGCATCAATAAATTCTGTATTGATGGAACGTACCTCAAAATCATAAGAGCTATTTATGACAAACCACAGCCAATATCATACTGAATGGGCAAAAACTGGAAAAATTCCTTTGAAAACTGGCTTCAAGACAGGGATGCCCTCTCTCACCACTCCTATTCAACATAGTGTTGGAAGTTCTGGCTAGGGCAATCAGGCAAGAGAAAGAAATCAGGGGATTCAGTTAGGAAAAGAAGAAGTCAAATTGTCCCTGTTTGCAGACGACATGATTGTATATTTAGAAAACCCCATTGTCTCAGCCCAAAATCTCCTTAAGCTGATAAGCAACTTCAGCAAAGTCTCAGGATACAAAATCCATGTGCAAAAATCACAAGCATTCTTATACACCAGTGACAGTCAAACAGAGAGCCAAATCATGAATGAACTTCCATTCACAATTGCTTCAAAGAGAATAAAATACCTAGAATCCAACTTACAAGGGATGTAAAGGACCTCTTCAGAGAACTACAAACCACTGCTCAGTGAAATAAAAGAGGACACAAACAAATGGAAGAACATACCATGCTCATGGATAGGAAGAATCAATATCGTGAAAATGGCCATACTGCCCAAGGTAATTTATAGATTCAATGCCATCCCCATCAAGCTACCAATGAGCTTCTTCACAGAATTGGAAAAAACTGCTTCAAAGTTCATATGGAACCAAAAAAGAGCCGCATCTCCAAGACAATCCTAAGTCAAAAGAACAAAGCTGGAGCATCACAGCATACCTGACTTCAAACTATACTACAAGGCTACAGTAACCAAAACAGCATGGTACTGGTACCAAAACAGAGATAGACCAATGGAACAGAACAGAGTCCTCCAGAAATAATACCACACATCTACAGCCATCTGATCTTTGACAAACCTGAAGAAACAAGAAGAAATGGGAAAGGATTCCCTATTTAATAAATAGTGCTGAGAGAAAATTGGCTAGCCATAAGTAGAAAGCTGAAACTGGATCCTTTCCTTACTCTTATACGAAAATTAATTCAAGATGGATTAGACACTTAAATGTTAGACCTAATACCATAAAATCTAGAGAAAACACAAATTAATACCATTCCAGAACATAAGAGGCATGGGCAAAGACTTCATGTCTAAAACACCAAAAGCAATGGCAACCAAAAGCCAAAATTGACAAATGGGATCTCATTAAATAAGAGCTTCTGCACAGCAAAAGAAACTACCATCAGAGTGAACAGGCAACCTACAGAATGGGAGAAAATTTTTGCAATCTACTCATCTGACAAAGGGCTCATATCCAGAACCTACAAAGAACTCAGAAACAAATTTACAAGAAAAAAACAAACAACCCCATCAAAAAGTGGGCAAAGGATATGAACAGACATTTCTCAAAGAAGACATTCATACAGCCAACAGACACATGAAAAAATGCTCATCATCACTGGCCATCAGAGAAATGCAAATCAAAACCACAATGAGATACCATCTCACACCAGTTAGAATGGCGATCATTCAAAAGTCGGAAACAACAGGTGCTGGAGAGGATGTGGAGAAATAGGAACACTTTTACACTGTTGGTGGGGTGTAAACTAGTTCAACCATTATGGGAAAACAGTATGGCGATTCCTCAAGGATCTAGAACTAGATGTACCATATGACCCAGCCATCCCATTACTGGGTATATACCCAAAGGATTATAAATTATGCTGCTATAAAGACACATGCTACCATGCATGTTTATTGCAGCACTATTCTAATAGCAAAGACTTGGAATCAACCCAAATGTCCATCAGTTGACAGATTGGATTAAGAAAATGTGGCACATATACACCATGGAATACTATGCAGCCATAAAAAGGATGAGTTTTTGTCCTTTGTAGGGACATGGATGCAGCTGGAAACCATCATTCTCAGCAAACTATCACAAGAACAGAAAACCAAACACCGCATGTTCTCACTCATGAAAGTAGAACTGAACAATGAGATCACTTGGACTGGAGAGAACATCACACACCGGGGCCTATCATGGGGAGGGGGACAGGGGAGGGATTGCATTGGGAGTTATACCTGATGTAAATGACGAGTTGATGGGTGCAGCACACCAACATGGCACATATGTATACATATGTAGCAAACCTGCATGTTGTGCACATGTACCCTACAACTTGAAGTTTAATAATAATAAATAAATAAAAAAAAAAAAAAAAAAAAAAAAGAATGTGTTTGGGGCTGGCCGCGGTGGCTCACATCTGTAATCCCAGCACCTTGGGGGGCTGGGGCGGGTGAATCATGAGGTCAGGAGTTCTGGGCTCCAGCCTGACCAACATGGTGAAACCCTCTCTGTACTAAAAATACAAAAAATTAGCTGGGTGTGGTGGCACACATCTTTAATCCCAGCTACTTGGGAGGCTCAAGCAGGAGAATCACTTGAACCCTGGAGGCGGAGGTTGCAGTGAGCCAAGATCGCACCAATGCACTCTAGCCTGGGTGACAGAGCAAGACTGCATCTCAAAAAAATAAAAATTAAAAAAAAAAGTCTTTTTAAAAAAAAAAACAAAAAACTCTGGGAAGTCTCTCTTTCTGTGATTGAGAAGATGCAGGCTCTGCCATGTCCAAAGAAAAGAGTAAGTAAGCCTGTCCTCACCTCCTCTTCATGCTGTATCCAGTGCAGTCAGCCTCCTGCCTCATCCCCTCCAGAGAAACTGTCCTTGACAAGGTCAACAGTTTTGGCTGGCATTGCCATTAATTTCTCAGCAGCATTTGACAGTTGTTCACTCGCTTCTTTATGAAAACCTTCTAGGATTTCCATTTTCCACAATCTTTTTTTTTTTTTTTTTTTAATTTCTTGTCCTTATTGGTGAATCCCTATCATTTTTTTCTTGAGATGGAGTTTTGCTCTTCCCGGTCAGGCTGGAGTCCAGTGGTGCGATCTTGGCTCACTGAAACCTCAGTCTCCTGGATTCAAGTAATTCTCCTGCCGCAGCCTCCCAAGCAGCTGGGATTACAAGCACCAGCCACCACACCCAGTTAAGTTTTGTAATTTTAGTAGAGATGGGGTTTCGTCATGTTGGCCAGGCTGGTCTCGAACTCCTCACCTCAGGTGATCCACCCACCTCAGCCTCCCAAAGTGCTGGGATTACAGGCACGAGCCACCGCCCCCGACCCCTATCATTCTTTTTTTTTCTACCTTTCTTTTTCTTCCCTTCTCTAAATACTGTAAAAATTTTCTGAACCCCGACATCTCTCTCTCTCCTTCTATTCCACTCTGCCATGATCAATCACTGAGCTCCTGTGATACCTCCACATTTCCCATTACTGTCCCCATCTAACTCATACGCTCTAACCCTACAGCCAGTTCATCATGCTGGCATGTAAATCACATCATTGCCATGTCACTCCTGAACATCCATCCTCAACTCTCCTAAGCACTCAGAACTGACTGAACCAGCTTTTGTCTGCAAGGTTCTGCATGGCCTGGCCTCTGTCATCCTCTCCTAACACGGGCCCATCATCTTCTGACTCTCTCTGCTTCTGTCCTTCAGCCCATAGTACCCAGTCCATCCCCACTCCAGTCCATACCCTTGGCCTCACGGCAACCTGGAACTCCCCCTCTGCCTCTGCGCAGGCAGCTCTGCTTTTTCCTTCAAGCCCTGCCTAAGGGTACCTCCACAGAAGGCTCTGCACAACCAGTGAGAGCTCCTGGGGCTCCCTCTGCTGCTCTTGCCCACCGGCCTGTGGACAGCTTCCCTACCACCAGCCCAATGCCATTTGTTTCATTTGCTTATTGTGCTTGTACTGTTTGACCGCCCCATGAGGATGTGAGCTCCACAAGGGCAGGGAACGTTGTTCTCTGGGCTGTTTACTGCTGATCCTCAGCTACTAGCATGCTGCCTGCCACAGAGGATGAATAAATGAGAGGTGTCAGACCTAGAGTGAAAAGAAAGTCATTTTCTGGGACAGAAAGGAAGGATGAGGAAAATCATACACTAAAAGGGATTTTTGGTGATGGAGTGCATATAGCACTTTCAGCAGTAATGGCCGCCTCTATTTTCTTGAAATATATTTGTGTAGAGAGGAGGCTGCTTGTGGTGTATCCAAGTTGTCTGGCTTCCAGCTCAGTAAAGCATGGCAGTTTGTAAGTGAATTTGAGAAATCACGATATCAAGTGAGACTTGCTGCTTTCAACTTGTAAAGCATAACAAACTGAACTATCCCATGAGTACCAGGGATCTGTGAATGTTGCTTTAGAGTTGTACTGTCTTACTTGGTTTCCATATCTATTCATAGGACCAGAAAATAAGAGGTGGTTTTATTGTATTATGTGTCCTGGCCTCAGTTCATCAGGTCTGGGATTTCCCCCTGGTATATCTTCCCATTTATGAAATAAATAATTCCCTAGAAACTGAGTAGCCCATAGATGTACCCAGAGGAGGGATGAAACACACATTTCTCACAGCTCAACTTCTCAGTTTGGTTTCCAGATCTGTCATTCATGATATCTATGTGGAGGGGAAAGAAAATTGTCAAACACCAACTGACGGCTTTTTGTCAAAATCTGTTTCACTAGAGCTTAAGACAGGAGATGGTGTTCTACCAAGCCAGTTGGATTCTCAGATTGATGACTTCGCTGGTTTCAGCAAAGATGGGCCGATGCAGAAACCTGGTAGCAATGCACCTGTGGGAGGAATCATTACCAGCAATTTCTCTGGAGATGACCTAAAATGCAGAGAAATAGTCCCTATTCCCAAAAGCCAAGAAGAAATTAATGCTGATATAAAACGTCAATTAGTGAGGGAAATCCAAAGCATTGGACGAAGTAAGTAGTATAAGAATATCTGTTTCATAAAACTATAGGAAGTCTCTCTTTCTATGATTCAGAAGATATTCATGTTACCTGTTGAGGCTCATTCTTTGCCAGAGTTGAGTTTGCCCATAGTTTATGGTGGTTCCTCTTTTCTTTGACTAAAGCATAGTACACCTTTTGCTTTTCTTTTCTTACTTGGTTATGGTTAAAAGAGTTTCATTCATACGTATGTGCAGGTGTCTTTTTTATTATTTAGTTTTTGTGTGTGCGAGTATCTTGATTTAAGCATTTAAAACATTTTAGCCTATGAAGCATGATTGCTGAGGTATAGATTCACTTCTATTCTTTATATTTGATAATACTGAAGGTTTTTTTTTTTTTTAAAAAAAACATCTTCAGAATACGAAAAGATCTTCAAATTGCTTGAAGAAGTGCAAGGACCTATAGAAGTCAAGAAACTATTTTTTGAATCCATCATCAAGGAAGCAGCAAGGTGGGTAGAAATAGGAACTGTCCAATTTCTTTAAGCACTTGGACTCAATAGAGTACTGGGGGTGAGCATGGGGGAACAGCCCCTGCCTTGAGTTTCTCAAACCCTGGTCCTCACTCATAGTTACGGCTGTCTCCACAGTTACTTAGGCTAATGTTATCTGAATCTAACTCATTCTTCGAAGACTATGGAGACTCCATTCTCACCATAGTCTGAGGTGTGCATTGTCCCTTGATTGACACTCTTTGTATTTGCTAGACTACCTCTTTTTAAAAAATTTTTGTACGGACATAGCAGATGCATATATTTCTGGGGTATATGAGATATTGTGATACAGACAACAATGTGTAATAATCACATCAAGGTAAATGGGGTATCTATCACCTCAAGCTTTTATCCTTTGTGTTACGGACAATCCAATTATACTCTTCACTATTTTTAAATGTACAATTAAATTATTACCGACAATTGTCACTCTGTTGGGCTATGAAATACTACATCTTATTTATTCTATTTTTCTACCTATTAATCATCCCCACTTCCCACACGCTCCACCCCCACTAACCTTCCCAGCCTCTGGTAACCGTCATTCTACTCTCTATCTCCATTAGTTCAGTTGTTTTACATTTTTGCTCCCAGAAATAAGTGAGAAAATACAAAGTTTGTCTTTCTGTGCCTGGCTTATTTCACTTAACATAATGACCTTTGATTCCATCCATGTTGTTGCAAATGACTGAATCTCATCCTTTTTTTATGTCTGAAAAATACTCTATAGTGTATGTGTACCATATTTTCTTTATCCATTCATCTGTTAGTGGACACTTAGGTTGCTTCCAAATCTTGGCTACTGTGAATGGTGCTGCAACAAACATGGGAATGCAGATATCTCTTCAGTACCCTGACTTCCTTTCTCTTGGGCATATACCCAGCGGTGGGATTGCTGGATCATATGACAGCTTCGTTTTTAGTTTTTTGAGCAACCTCCGTACTGTTCTTCATAGTTGTTGTAGTAACTTATATTCCCACCAACAGTGGGTGAAGGTTCCCTTTTCTCCACACCCTCGCCAGCATTTGTTATTGCCGACTAGACTACCTCTTACCGTGCAGATACATTTCTGTTTCCATGCTGACTGTTACTTCATTTTTGTATCCTTCAAAATGCTTCCTACAGCATAGGTTCTTCGGCTGTCTTTTGGTTAATGACATGTCTCTTTATTTTCAGATATATGAGCCGAGACTTCGTTCAGCTCCTTGAGAAGAAACTGGAGCATATGATTTGGGAGTACTTGTCCATGGAGGATTATGACGACTCAAATGCATAATCTTATTAATGATTGAGGAGAGAAAAGGATCAGATTGCTGTTTTCTACAATGGAGCAGGATATTGCTGAAGTCTCCTGGCACATGTTGCTGAATCAAATGGCCTTCAAGAGGCTAAGAAATTTCTGTTAGTAAAAGTTGTTCTTTTCCCTAAGCATTTCATTTGAAAGGATAACTTGTTTTTTGGTTGTTTTGTATTCCCACCTATGCTGGTAGATATTATTAACCCATTAGGTAAATATTATTACAGTCGTGGTTTCTGCAGCAGCTCACATTGTTGTAGCTGGTATTTATAACTACCTTCTTTCACTACCCATTTCGCATTCCCTTTGCCCTGAGATAGCATGTCAGTTGGTCATGGTGCTTGACCTGGCAGGATGACTCAAACCTTCATTACTGACAAGTCTGAACCATTAGATATTCTGCCTGGATGGGGTTACTTTAATTTTCCATTAACTTTAATCGCAAAACATGGGAGGACTAAGGAGCTCTCTAGACATACCAGACATACTCTTTCTTAGCCCCTAGTATAGTAGGAACCCAATCTCAGCCAGTAGCAGACCCCCTACTTTGTCTCTTGGTTGAGAAGAATGAACAGTCCAAATTGGTCAGCTTGCAGACATGACTTTTTTTTTTTTTTTTTTTTTTCCCCGGAATCTCTGTCTGTCACCCCGGCTGGAGTGCAAACTTGGCTCACTGCAGCCTCCGCCTCCCAGGTTCAAGCGTTTCTCCAGCTTTAGACTCCCGAGTAGCTGGGACTACAGGCACACACCACCGCATCCAGCTAACTTTTGTATTTTTCGTAGAGATGGGGTTTCACCATATTGGGCAGGCTGGTCTCCAACTCCTGACCTCAGGTGATCTGCCCACCTTGGCCTCCCAGAGTGCTGGGATTACAGGTGTGAGCCATGGCATTTGGCCAGACACAACTTTCATTTTGATGGAATCACTTTGGTTTCCCCTGTTGAAAAAATTCCTCAATGTGTAACTAAGTCCTCTAGTCCAGCAGAGCCAACGGTTGGCTGCTTGACAGCACAGTTTGCTTCTTGAGCATAAGAAGCAACATTTTGTTACTAGATACCCAGGAGTAATAGTGAGAGAAGGCCCACATATTGCCTCCTTCATTTTTGAAGTCATGGATGTGCTGTGGGAGAAAGAGTTCCATATACTTGATGCTGGGATTCAGCTTTGTCACTTTCTAGATTGTCAGCCAAGCCCCACAAAGCACTGCCACAAAGCTGCAACTACAACTCGGGCTTTAAAAGATCCTTCAGTGTTCTATTGAGCTAGCCACTTCAGGATGCTGAAGAACATCACAAGACTAGTGAAATCCATTAGCATGAGCCCATTCCCATACTTCATTTCCTGTAAAGTGAGTTTCATGTTTAAAACTGTTGTAGTGTGGGATACTATGATGGTGGATACAGCCGTTCCTAATATCACAGTATTGGTTTTCTTGAACTACCATGGATGGGAATGAAAATCCATATGCATAGTAAGTGTCTATTTGAGCAAGATCAAAATGATGCCCCTTCAATTTTGGAAGCAGATCCAAGTAATTACAGTGCTACCTGGAAGCTGAGTGACCACTCTGGGACGTGGTGCCATATTGGGGACTCAGTGTTGGTCTCTGCTGCTGGCAGATTGAATAGTGAACAGTGGCTGTAGTGAGATGGACCTTGTAAATGGAAGTTCATGTTGCCAAACCCATGAATGATCTTTATGTCAGCCACCACAATCATGATGCACCATTACTGCTTAGAAGATAGAAGGGTGCACCTAAGGAGGTATGGAGGTGGCTCAAGTAGCTTAGAGTGGCCTCAGCCAAGACCATGAGTATACGGCTACCTCAGTTCTACAACTTTAAGAAGTTAGACCTGCCCGTAACTCAAATGAGCTTGAAAACAGTTTCTCTCTGAGTCCTCAATTAGTCAGCAGCCTGGTTGATACCTTAACTTTCATTTTGTGAGATCCTAAGCAGAGAAACCAATCCAGGCTGCAGATAAACCAATCCAGGCTGCATGGATTTCTGATCTACAGAACTGCTTATATATTTGTGTTGTTTTAAGCTGCTAAATTGGGGATAATTTCTTTTGCAGTAGTAACAAACTTAATACATGTAGTGCCTGCATATTCTGAAGCAACAAATGAAAATCAGGCATGTTTTTTTATTTTCTAGTCAACTGGTCACAGGGAACTCCACATGAGACCACAGGTGCAGGACTAGGGAAGCTTCTCTTTTTCTGCGCCCCAATCTATGCTAGCAGGGTTTCAGGCACTTGTCAATGGGTCACGATACAGCACAACATTGAGGTACATGCTAAAGCAAGCATCTATTATGCAACTTGGTTGTGTGTTCCTTGTTTAGTGGTAAGAAAGGCAAGATGTAGGAACTTGCTGTTCACCTTATGAGCACCATCTTGACATGCCAGACTACTAGATTGTTAAATGTTTCACTCAGAAGACCCTGATTTTGTGTGGCAATTATTTCTCACATAATGTCTTGCAGGTGTGTTTCTAATGTGTCTGGATTAGTTGCTACCACCTGCTCAGTCAGCATAGTGTCATCAGGGCAAAGAATGGTGTCACATCTGGTTTAAGAGAAAGGTGGTCATGGTCCCTAGGGACTGATTTAGGATATAAACCTAGGGAGTTGATACAAGCTTGAAATAGGAGATTTAGTACATTGTACATTGTACATGGGAGAGTACATAGTACATTGTACGTAGGAGAGTACATAGTACATTGCTCTCCTCTCTAGCTGAACCCAAACTCTTGTTTATGACAATTGCTGAAAGAAAACAAAACATTCACCTAATCAAGATTATATATCAGGTTCCCAGGGATGTCACAGTTGCTGACGCAACAAAACCACCTATAGTACAGCAGCTGCAGTTGGAACAACAATTTGATTAAGTTTATGGTGCGATCTTGGCTTACTGCCACCTCCACCTCCCAGGTTCAAGCAATTCTCTTGCCTCAGCCTCCTTGTGTAGCTGGGATTATAGTCACACACTATCATACCTGGCTAATTGTTTGTATTTCTTAGTAGAGACGGGGTTTCACCATGTTGGTGAGGCTAGTCTCAAACTCTTGACCCTCGAATGATCTGCCCACCTCAGACTCCCAAAGTGCTGGAATTACAAGCGCGAGCCACTGCGCCAGGCCCCAGCTATTTTTTGTATTTTTGGTAGAGCTGTGGTTTCGTCATGTTGACCAGCCTTGTCTGGAACTCCAGACCTCAAGCCATCCACCCACTTCTGCCTTCCAAATCCTGGAATTACAGGTGTGAGCCACTGTGTCCGGCGAAAACTTCGGTTTTAAGTGAAACGCAGAAACAAAATCAGATAGTCAGAAAATGAGATACTGCATGTTCTCATTCATATGTGGGAGCTAAACAATGGGTACACATGAACATAAAGGTAGAAACCACTGACTCTGAGGACTCCAAAAGGGAGGTGGAGGGGAGGGAAGGTGCGGGTTAGAGGGTTGAAAAACTACCTATTGGATACTCTCTTCACTATTTGGGTGACAGGTTCACTAGAAGCACAAACCGGGATTATGCAATTATACCCAAGTGAGAAACTCAAAAGAAAGCTTCAGTTTTGAATCTTAACCAGATATACATGAAGAGGATTACTTACTTGGACACCTTTACAGGTTTCTATGTTAGTTTTTGGTATTGAAGCAGACACCTGTTCCCTGACCACTTTATTAATTGTATATCCTCTTTGTACAACATCCAAAATAGAAGACTGGCACTTTTGGTTCTGTAACTATGATTCTTTACTGCAGTCTTCTACAGCTTTTACAGAGTTCATAGTCCCTAATATCTGCCATTCTCCAATTGTCCTGGGTGGAGAAATGGCTACCATAGTAAACTTCTTCCTGATAATTAGAGTTTCTGGAAACATGCAGGGCTCATTATTTAAGAGTGACTCCACTTGGGCATTCTGGTGGATGGCCTACAGGTTTTCTCGCAGTGTATACTAAAGTCTCCAGAATGAATAACCCTAGGAACTTGAGGAACTGGCTGTTTCTAGAATTTTGGATGCCAAGATACAAATATTGGTTTTCTCAAAGCTCTGCACGTGGGAAGGAAAATCCATATCTAGACTAAATGTCTGTTCAGGTAAGAAGAAAGCACTTCTCTTTTTATAATAGAAGTGATCCATTGTAATCCACATACCAACTAGTGGCTGTCAGATCATTCTGGAGTCTGGGGCCAAATTGGGGGCTTAGAGTTGGTCTCCATTCCTGGAAGTTTGTTCACTCAGCAATGACCATAGCCAGGTTTGAAATGGTGAGTGGAAGTCCATGCTACTGCGCATAATCTCCATCCCTGACAGTTTGACCACTTTGTTTGTTGAGCCCATAAGATTGTGACACAAGCGTTGGGGAAAGAGGCTGATTAATATCTAGATAATAAGTACCTTATCCATCCAATTATTAAAATTCTGCTCTGCTGAGGATAACCTTTGCTGAGAACTCTCATGAGACCCCAATATCTTCACATTGTATGTCCATTTGCAAAGGTCTGTCCATATATTTGTTTTTTTTCTCAGATATCCTTGTCACAAATTTTTAATCATGTGTCCTCAAAGTCCCCGACAATTCAGCTAATAAGTGGGACACAGCCTATGCATGATACATACTTACACGTCTGGATATGTCTCTTCCAAGAAGGTGCACTGCTCAAAGTTCTTCCCTCTGGGAAGATGTCCCATCACCACTGTCCTTCAGGGCTGTCCCCGTCAGGACTGTCATATGCAGCTGTCCACTTGTGGCTTGTGTGGTAGGCAGGATTCTAATTATGCCCCTCCAAGATTCCAGTCTCATGGTTATTCAATCAAATACGCATATGAGTACTGCTGTGGTGGGATTTTTTAATGCAAAAATGAGTATTTCATTTTGATAGCACTAGAAGAAACAAACAAAACAACTGTGTTCCTATATCGAAGTGAAAACAATATTGAAGCTTTCTTATCAATCAAATATATTCCAAAAGAAAATGTGTTCTATGAAGGTTCTGAAGTCCAGGCAAATATTAACACAATAGGCTAGGAAGTTGTAATAC